GTATACAAGAACCACAAAATGTTGATCAAACCCACCCAAATCAACAATGCAATAATAGATCATCCATCAACCCTTTCCTCCTTTGTAGTAACCAAGATACCATTTTACAAACTTCTTCAAACCTGTCTGCAAATCTGTGGTTGGCTTGTACCCAAGCTCTCTCTGCGCCCAACTGATGTTAGCGTGCGTAAACGGCACATCACCGTTCCTCGGCAACTTCATCATGTTCCTCTTTGCTTTCACTTTCAACAATCTCTCCAATATACTCACCAGATCAGTCACCGGAACCGGAGATGTGTTCCCTAGATTGAATACCCTTAACTGAGCCTGACCACGCTTCTTACCACCACTCCCTGTGCTCTTCTCCGCCGTGTCTAATGCCCCCAAACACCCTTTCACTATATCATCAATGTATGTGAAATCCCTAGCCACCGTTCCGTGATTGGCTCCTTCAAAGATGGAAATAGCTTTCCCTTTGAGTATATCTCTGGTGAAGAAGAAGTAAGCCATGTCTGGTCTTCCCCACGGACCATAAACCGTGAAAAACCTCAAACCAGTAAGAGAGAGCCCATAGATGTGATTGTAAGTGTGAGCAATCTCTTCTCCAGCTTTCTTGGTTGCAGCATAGAGACTCGCAGGCTGATCTGTTCGATCTTTCTCCGAGAATGGAACTTTCGTGTTCAATCCGTAAACCGAACTCGACGAAGCCCACACAATCGCCGGCTGAGGATTAGCGGATTTACAGACCTCGAGTAGATTAACGAACCCAGCGATGTTACTATGAACATAAGAGCTCGGATTCTCCATAGCGTATCGCACACCAGCTTGAGCAGCCAGATGCATCACGTGAGTGAAAGGGACGACCTGGAAGAGTTTCTTGAGGAGAGACAAATCGTTGATGTCTCCTTCGACGATAAACACTCCGCTTCGCTCCAAAAGGGCTTGTCGAGATCTCTTGAGCGAAGTGTCGTAGTAATCGTTGAAGTTGTCGAGCCCTAGAACTCCGTCGCCGCGTCGTTTAAGAGCGGCGGAGACGTGTGTTCCGACGAATCCGGCGGCGCCGGTGACGAGAACGGAGACACCGTTACGGGTACGGACTCGGGCAGAGGATCTGACCCGTTTCTCCCAATCGGGTCCTCCCCAAGTGTATGTACGAAGAGAGCGGCGAGAAGAATCAGAGGAGACGGGATTTGAAATGGGAGATCGGAAGAAGAAGATGAAGATCAATCCGATAAAGACAAGCGACCAAAAAGCAAGCTTAGCGACGGAGGATTGCCACCGTGTACGGTGGAAGTAGGGGGATTTATCCATCTTGAATTTACCAGGCGTCGAAGGAGTATCGTCGAGATGCGACATTTGCTTCATCTTTCCAGATTCAATCTTTGTGACTAGATCTCAGGCTAAATAAACAAAAAAAAAAAGAGGGAATGAATAATAAATCCCTGCTTCTGCTTGCTTTG